TTGTTGGCACGAAAATTTTTGCCCTTTGGTCAAGGACTCAAGATGATGGCTTGTCGACTCACCGCATACAAGCCTCACTGATTGGTCGTTAGCCAGCCATTCAGCGCGTCGATTCACTGGGGCTATATATGGTAAGATAATTAATGGTATGGCATTTGCGTCAACGTAGAGTGAGGCACTTTCAGCTAAGCGTTATACAAGCGTCTTTGTATGGATAGCTGAATGTGCAGACAGCCTGGACGAGTGAATGTGCAGTCTTTTTCAGGTGCTTTTAGAACGATATTAAAGCCCTATAAGCCATAAGGCTGTAAAACTCGTCTCTGCACCAAGACATCGAAACGATTTTAGGTGTTTTGCTAGAAATATTGTAAAAGGTTTTTAGAAACTGTTAAACGCACACGCGGGGACACACACATACCCCCGCTCCCCAACCACCATTATGTCTTAGATCAATAATTTTCTTTTAGATTCATGTCATAACGCTGGTTACTCTACTCTAAGCAGCATCAGTTAAAAAAAATATGAAAACCACAGCCATCTACCTCTTACGTCACCACCCAGTAGGACCTTCACTCACTTGCAGAATCTAGTGACGGGCCAGCGCATAGCAGCACCGTTCTGGGTGTAGTGTACCTTGTAGGACCTTCACTCATTGTTCACTCAGTTGCACAGGATGGTGAAGAGATGAGGGCTGAGCCGGCACTGATCCAGACATTTCCCGTTACCCGGTAGGAGGGAAGCCCTACCGTTTCCCTTCTCGTCTATATTTGGTTATCTCGTAAACAAAGTTAAGGCAAATTTATTTACATTGAATAATTCTGAGCCATAGCAAAGCCTTTGTAATAAAAATAATAACTACTAAACACGGTACACTGGATCGCTTCTAACGGATGATAAACAATGGTGACACAGTTGCTCCATTCCTCGCCACACACAGATAATGAACGACCATTGCCCCACAACCTACAATAGACGTGAAACGTCTTTTTACCTATTTATTTATTCACATAATATGTGTTATATTGTAGCAGGGAAAATATATTTTCAGTGCCAGTAAGGACATGTCAGTTCGTAAGAGCATAATATTGCGAACCTTTGACCTGGTGTCGAGTACGCTTGGAGTCGTTAGTGAGGTTGAGCTGTGGAGAAACACCATAATTCGAGAAACCTTCACAGTGTTGAAATTAATGCTTCACTGAAAGTTGGTTAACCATTACGGTTTGTCAATGTTGACTCCAGGCAGTAATCTTGATGTGTAATCCTTGTGTGTTATTCTTGTTGGTGGCGCCTTGTTTTAGGAGGCTGTAATCCCTGCATCAAGCTGAGTGGTTACATGCGCTTAGCTTAACAACCGTTCACGAATAGAACAAAGCTGGAGGGTGTGTAGGTGGGTAAGAATGAAAACATACCGCTAGGGATTATCCCAGACATTTTCCCAGACAGAAGCATGACGTTACATGTACGAGGAGTTGTCAGGCCACACACACACACACACACACACACACACACACACACACACACACACACACACACGAGCTAAAATTAAAACACTAGGTGCATCCTCATCAGCAAATCTCCCCTCACCGTGCAGGCTCCAACAGTAAGGGCGGTCACCCCAAGCCAACACCAACACCAGAAATTAAAAAATAAGTGTCTACTGCACCGTAACAGAGCGCCACTACTGGCAGAAAGCAAGTGAAACTTGAGACTCCGGTGAATGCTCGTGTTGGCAATGTTTGTATGTAATGGGCCGAAAACTTGGCTACCCGTTGACTGTCAAAGACTGGTCTACCAGTTGACTGCCAAAGACTGGTCTACCAGTTGACTGCCAAAGACTGGTCTACTAGTTGACTGCCAAAGGCCGATCTACCAGCTGACTGTCAAATACTGAGCAACCAGCTGAAAAAAGGTATTTATCTTTAAATTTTAGTGGCGGATGACCAGTGTATTTACAAACGTAGACTACACGCCTAAAGACCGTAGATGTTGAGGCGCAGTAATACATTGTAACATTACCAGTTATGTGCCAATTTAGTTGATTTTCCCGTTTGGTCTCTTCAACACTCCCCCCTCCCCTTTACTTGACTTCCATTGGGATGAGATTACGAAATTACTCACAGCGGGGAGAGACCATTACTCTCAATCGCACTGACACATCCTACACCCCCCTCCCCCTCTCTTTATCTTCCCTCCTTTCTTATCCCCCTCCCCTCCCCTCTTGCTTCGGCTCCCCTTCTTCCCGCCTCTCTCCCTCTCTCCATTCCTCCTCCATTTCCTCTCTCCTAGACTAGTGACGTCATGGCTTTTTAATCAAGCCAAACCAAAAATAAACTAACTCGAGTGGATTTTTTTTGGATCCTTAAGGATGAGAAAACCTATTTATGTGTTTTCTTGGTACCCACGGGAACCAAAACTTACGGATGAGGTAAAAACATCCCGAGCCACAAGATAGGCTTCCTGAGTTAGCCCAACCGAGGAATGTGTAAATTAGCTGAGAGAGATTAAATGGGTGTCCCAACTCACTCCCTAAAAGGGTCTCCAACTCCCTAAAGACAGACAGACAGACAGACTTCTTTACCCACCCTTTCAACACCACTTAAATGCAGGGATAATCACCTCTTTGGATACACTTTCACCACCACAAGCACGACTAACACCCCCCCCCCCCAGTGTCAACAGACCTTTACCAAACCACAAGATTAAATTGTTTTCTCCTTTATTCAAATGTCTACAATATCGTCATCATCTTCTTCCTACTAGGTCATGAGAGGTGAGTTGAAGGATATAAGGACATCTGTTAGTCTAAAGGATCCCCCAAAAGGATTCATTAAGATTAGTCAGCTAAATTTATCTTCCTAATTGGCTCTCTCTTAAGGCGGTATAAAAATCGCTGACAAGATGGCGTCTAAAATGTAGTGAGACTTTTTCCTCGTGAGATCAGTTCTTTTATCCAGGGGAAATAATGTTATTTACAGTATATTGGATTTATGAGGTTAGGTTAGGTTATATTAAGTCTGATTAGGTTAAAGTTAAGTGAGGTGAGGTTAGGTTAGGTTAGGATAGGTTAGGTTATAGTCACTGAGATCTTATATTTATATTTTATTCCCTGACCGTACCTACAACACCGTACAGTATAACTCAGGTAAACTCACCGTAATTTGGTAGGTGGTTATCATCTTATGTGAGCCAGTTAGATGTATTCTCATATTTCCATTTATGAAGAACATTCCACATAATATAAACTAACCTAACATAACTTAATCTAACAAATCAAAGGTACTCAAACTATCCAACCAGGAGCGAACTCGTAACAATGGTTTTAAATTAGACAAATTTAGATTTCGGCGTGAAATAGGTAAACACTGGTTTGGAAACAGAGTAGTGGATGATTGGAACAAGTTACCAAATATCATCATTAACTCGAATACGCTGGATAGCTTCAAACATAGGTTGGATGCTTATATGAGCAATAGGGGTTGGGTATAAACGGGACTGCCCAGTATGGGTCAATAGGCCCGCTGCAGTTTCCTCCATTCTTATGTTCTTATTTAACCTAATATATCATAACTTAATCTAACATATAACTTAGCTCAACTTATCATAACCTAACCTAACCTAACCTAACCTAACCTTATGCAATGGCCTTATAAATTCATAGAAAAATTCACTCTAGTTACGGACCCAAAAGACACACACACACAAAAGACAGCGAAATTGCACCGTGGATCTACCGTAAATAAATGCGATAACTTTTACCTTCGTAGAGTAGAAATTGACGTCGAGGGGTAGGGTCACGTGGGTGGGTGGGTGGTCTTGTAGGTCAGGTCAGGTCAGGTCGGGTGTGGTCTTGTCAAAGTGTGCGTCAATCTCCCTCCTCCTGAATGCTTCACCATGGTCAATAATATTTCCGAGAGAGAGACCCAGAAAGAGACAGGAGGGAGACCAGACAACAGAGAGAGAGAGAGAGAGAGAGAGAGAGAAAAAACAGTGAGGGAGACAGATTTTATTCCACCCACCCCACTCCCACCCACCCACTACAGGCAGGATCTGGTAGCAATCATGTTACGGAGAATTAGGTCGAGCATTCTGGGGGCGGCTCTAAAGTATTAGATTTACTGGAGCTGAGGGAGTGGGGGTGGGGGTGAGGGGTGGGGGTGAGGGGTGGGGGTGGGGGGGGTGAGGGGAGTGGGGGGTGAGGGGAAGTAGGGGGTGAGGGGGAGTAGTGGTAAGGGGGGGAGTAGTGGCGAAGTTGGAGCTGTGGGGTGTAAGGGTGTAGGGGGGTGGGAGAGTAACAGTGAGTGGAAGAAGGGGGTGAAGAGGAGTAGGGGGATGAGGGAAAGCTGAAGTGAGAGGGAGAAACGGACACCAAAGCCTGTGCCAAGGTATCTCTTGACCATGATTTATATACAGTATAGTTATGCATTAGTTCAATTACGGCAGAGTAATGGATAAACACCTCAGGCGTCCTTATGACCTATGATCCCTATCAAATGATGCAAAATATAAAACTTTTGGGGGTTTTGGTCGCTAATCTTACATAATCCTTATAAATGAAGTCTGGATAAGCCTGCCTAGTTTTAAAGTAATTGTCCCTGAATTGACGGAGTGGTCACTAATTTTTCACTGCTGATAAAAAACGTTGAATAACAGCACAGCAATAATGATGGTAAGGTTTGTCCCCACCACTTACACTAATTAATGTACTCTACTCCTCCACAACATTACGTGGACATATTATGTACTAATATCTAATGCCACAACAACCTGCCCACTGAGGTTTGTAAAGAGCCATTTGTAACCTCTGTCCTGCAGTAGCCATTGCTCGCGTTGAATTTGATAAAAACTAATTCCACTAAACTTCGTGTAGAGCACTACTACTACTGTACTTACACATACTTGGTGTACGAAATAGCTAGGTGTACTAAGCAGGGCTGGGTGTAATACACAGGCCTGGGTACATGACACAAAGCTGGATACACTACACAGGTTGGTGTACTCACCAGATACCACTGGTAGTGGAAATAGGGGTCGGTGGGGTCCTGATGACTCTGAATGGTGTGGAGAGGCACCAAGTTCTCCACCTTGAGTGGCTTGTACCCGCGCTTCACCCGCTTGAACCCGGCCTGCTGGTACGCCGAGTGAACCTGCGGGAAAGACAGAACTTAATGAACCTATGGGAGTGTTAGTGAACCAAATGACAGAGTATCAGTGAGCAGCTGGAAGGAAATGTACAGTTAGTGAATGAACCTTGCGGGAAATAATGGTTTGTTAATGTGACATAAAATACGGGTCTCTCTAGCCTGTTGGGAAAGACGGATCTGTCAGCTCCGGGGTAACCTACACAATAGAAAAAAAAATGAATTTTAGCTTCAAACATCAGCTATATTGAACTCCCACTGTTGACCTTCGAAGCTTTTACATCCCTAAAAAAATAACATGCAAAATTCCAACACACACACGCACACACGTAAAATGCCAACACATATAAAATATCCCGAGTTTTACTTCCTCGTAAATTGGGTTTCATATGATCCCTAAAAATACCTTCCCATCAAGGTGAAGTAAGTACGTTTGTTTAAAGCACACAACTCATCTTTATATATGATGAAGTGTTACATAATTTACTCTCGTTTAATGGTGTACATTTCAAGTGATAGAACACATAAGGTACATTATAAAATTAAGGATTAGTGTCATACATAATTTATTGTTTGGTAAATTAATGACCAAAAAGTCTATAAAATTTCGGTAACACAGGATTTTTTTTTCGATTTCACGACTTAGAAGACAAAAGATGTAAAACAAAATATGTGGCGAGTATTTCATGTTATTCTTTATACGACAAATTCACAGCCAAGGATATATTGCGTTTCTTGTCCTCATTTATTCTGGATCAAATAGACTTCACATTATATTATTAAAAACACAAATTTCTGTAATATGAAGTCCTCTCTCAATTTCAAGTTCATGCAAAATATGTTTTTAAATCTAGTTCTTAAACACAAGGTTCTTTAGTCAGGTTCTTTAGCACCTCAGCATACACGGCGGCTGTTGCTAAGAGCGCATGTTTACCTGAATTTCAAATTCATGTTTTGTGACAATTCAAGACGCAGTCCAGACGACCACCTCCTGTTTACTGAAGAAACGCTGGGAGAAGGAAAGGAGGAGTAAAAACATTAGTAACTGAAAACAATATATATATATATATATATATATATATATATATATATATATATATATATATATATATATATATATATATATATATATATATTAATGTGGTCAGGAGGAGGAACAGATGATAATAAAGAAGGCTGGGGAGGAAGAGCAATAAGATTTTCAAAACTTTAACACAGAACTTGTACAATTTGGCGGCGGTGGATGAGGAGGAGGAAATGAGGTTCTCAAAAACTTTATCGTAAAACTCAGACAATCGTTGACGTCGTGGGAAGAGGAGTGGGACTCACGCTTCGCTACTCGTCTTAAACAAAATATGAAACACAAGGAGATAAAAATCCAATTCTTAAAAATTTAAACTATTGAAATTCCAAATGATCTTCCGTGGCGAGGTAAATTACACTCCACTTTTAGAGTGTATGAATGTCTGGAGAGATGTGGCGTGCCGCGTGAGACGGTCCCCATGACCCCAGCCTGAAGTTGTTTACATATCTGCAGAGAAACCTTAATGACTTACCTTCTTGTTCTCCTCAATATAGACTGCTTATGTTTTTGTCAAGTTTGTATGTAATTTATATTACCCGTGAATATGCTTAGAAATTTAATGTATATAGAGTTAATTTCCTTGATGAAACTCTAAGTACGGAAACGGGTACGTGTTTCTGAATCAACACACACATTACCTTGTTTTTGAAGTGAGGACATCCGTTCAATATTTTTTTACTCTCGTTTCTAGCGCTTCTTGTCTATTTTTTTCTGCTAGATTATATTATCATCCTCCACTTTCTTTTAATATACACATCAAATTTTAGTAGTTCCCTATTTCTTCTTTGGCAAAACATAACATTTAACGCTGTAACAGTCACCTCATGAATCGACTTAAGATATTTTTTCTGACGATATTCTTTAAGCAACACCAACGGACGACGCAGTAAATAAGGTCTGGGACGAGACCAGTGGCGCCCTCACTCTACAGCCTGGACCATCACAAGACAATAACAGATCCATTTAAGGGACAACATAGTGCTATACGGTATATACTTGACTGTGGGGTATCACATTTCTATACGATGCTATTTAGAGGCAAGACAGTCCTATACCGGGGGCGGGGGAGGGGGGTGGCGACACACACATGAAAGGTCAGCCATGTAGTGTCCTTAATGATGGTTATTTAACACTTAGTATGGACAGCGCGGAGTATACGAGAGAGAGAGAGAGAGAGAGAGAGAGAGAGAGAGAGAGAGAGAGAGAGAGAGACTCCACCATTTTCCACGGCTCGGCATTATACACATCTTTAATTAATTTAAGCATTTCAGCTTCCGGGTGCATGAGCTGCAAGTTTTCCGGGTACGAAGGAGCTCTGCACAGCCTCTCTACTGCAGCCATGAAGACATAATCCCAGCCATTGTTAACTAACTTAAGCTAATGTAACGTGCCTGAATGTAACCGAGTCTTAACACCGCCAAGATAAATGTAATGAAATGTAATCCAGTGTTAAATTAGTATAACCTAACAGAACTTTACCTAATTTAACGTAATCTAATGTAACCTAACCTACCATTATCTAATATGACGAGCTAACCTTACGTTACCTAATTATTACTTAACCTAACCTAAGGTACACTATACTGTTACCTAACTTCGTGTAACTTAATCTACTGTTACGTAACTTCAAGTAACGTTTCCTCATGTTCTTTGACACAGTGTAACGAAGCCTAACTTTACCTAACAGGGTAATCAAGATCAAGGGATTTAACCTGGTGGTATTTCGTCTATCTTGTTACTGACTGATGCAATGTTATTCAGTGAGGAAGTCTACCTAAGTGTTCCCTGAGACCACACGAGAGAAAGAGAAACTTCTCACAATATTCAACAAGCTTCACACACACACACACACACTTCAAGTGGTAGTGGTGATGGCTGGCTGTGATCTGCTCTACCTTAGCTGAGTCAAGCGTAGTTACAATCGCTTGTCATTTGCATAATTACACTTGCACAATTTGCATAGTTGTAACCGCATCATTTAATTAACCCAAGCTGAGAAATAGCTGTTTAACTCACGTAATAATAACCGAGCAATTTACATAGTAACCGCCGTTATTCACACAGTAACATCTTTGAATTACAGTATCATCTGTATAAGTTACAGTGAGATTTTAATCTATATGATAACATGTGTTATTTATATAGTAACTTTCGCCATATGTATATTAACATACGAGTCATTGGTATTACAGCAGCTTCATCTGAAAAAATCAGTTAAAGTACCAAAACAACAAATCACTGGTGAACGAAACTCCATTTATGTTTATAAAAGTTTTGTTTACGCAGAGGTATGCAGCAGCTACACTATCACAGTAGCGAGTGGTCACTGTGTGTCTTGATGACGTGGCAACACCTGCGTCAGTCTTCACCTTCCTCCCCATTCTGGATTATGTAAATTAGGGAGTAAGAATGAGGTTAATGTAGGTATCGGGAGGGGGTTCCCTCCCCCCTGCGCCCTGAACACGGCCCCTCCATTACCACCAGTGGGAGGAGGAGGAAGGTGGGTAGGCGGGTGTGTGGAGGGAGGGATGGGGGAAGAAGTGGGCGGTGGGGGTGGTTGGGTATGGGAAGGAGTGAATGAGGGAGTGGAGAGACTGGTTGGGTGGAATGAAGGAGTAAGAGTAGAGAGGGTGGGTGGGTGGGTGGGGTGGGGAGGGGGGTTGGTTGGAGGTATTGAGGGGATTGGGCAACGACGGGAATTAAGAGCGAGAATCTGAGAGAAGGTCCTATCGCCCCCCTCCCCCCCAAGTGGACGTTAAAACACTTAGAAATAGAGCAGTAGAGGGAACCAAAACCCATATAACCTGTTGGTAAAGATCATGACAGTAATAGTGGCCAGGGACTACAGGGAAACAGGTCTTGGGGGGGGGGGGATAAAAGTTAAGATGGGACGTGGCTGGGGTAGAGTATAGGCTACGAGACATTAAGATTTGGCCTCGGGAGTCAGGGTGTAGGAGGAGCTGGGGGACACAGAGATTGGAGATGTCAAACGATAGGAAGACTTCAACAGTTACTAGCCTTAGGGGCAGGTGATAGGAGAATAGAAGACTATGGGGCTAGGAGGAATAGGAGAACTGGACAATGTGTTGACAGAAGAACTTAGAAGAGCTATAACTTGTGCGGCAGGAGGTGAGTGCTGGGGAAGTAAGAGTTTATATTAACCAGGAGGTCGCTATGAGGGGGGTCTTTTGTTCGTTCTTAAAGCTACCTCACTCACTCGCGCGTCCACCACCCGGGCCTAAGGCGGGCTTTTTTTTCCCCTAGGTTGAAAAAACGTGTCAGCCCCCTCACCAGCCAGGGGTGAGATTCACAATGGTTGTTACGTTGAATATTCCTCGTAAGCGATGTCGTAAACATTCACTTCACTCATTGACGTTAAGTAGGACACTAACATTACATTTGAATTAAACATTAAAATTATACCGGGATTTTTTCTTAACTAGACACGTTCCCTCAGCACCAGTTAAGGGATATAATTAAGATAGTATATATCAGGTAGTCTTTCATTATAATTTTTACGCCATTTTTGTTTTGTTTTAGCGCAAGTCAGCAGTTGGACGGACGGGTTCTTACATCTCCATATACCATTTGAACGTTTGTGAATCCGTCCCCAGATCTTGTGAATCCGTCCCCAGATCTTGTGAATCCGTCCCCAGATCTTGTGAACCCGTCCCCAGATCTCACATGTTAGTTATGACATTTATACAAACATTATCAACACTAACTTGGTGCAGTCAGTTTGTACGGTGTTCTTGGTCACTGTATGCATTATTAGGAAGATGCCATTAAATCAGTAATATATGAAAATAGGGGGACGAGATACTTAAGTGGCTGAAAAGGTAGAATTTTTTATATATAGTGAAAAATTCTATTCACATTTCGTCAAAATTATTTCTAAAGATTATTTAATACAGGTTTTGTC